AAACAGATCCTCTTCCTGGTGGCAGATTTGGTTTTTGCTTATGTCCTCACAAACCTTTTCCACGAGTTCAGAGCTGACAGATTCATTGGAATCCATTTCTTCCAGGCACACAGGGAGAAATTCTTCTGCTATGAAGTGAGAGGGGCTGAAGTTCTGCCTGGTGAATTTGTTACCTGGGGTTTCCCCAGCACTTACTGGAACTGGGGCTTCTGCTCTGTCTGATTTCACATTTGTGTCTTGTACAGTGGAAACAGAAGAATTTCTCCTGTTTGGCAATTTGGGCTGGAAAATACCCAGAGGGATATTTATTCCTGGATATTTATCCTGAGGTGCCATGCTTGTGGGAGCAGCTCCAGATTCCAGACCTGTGTTCTCCTGCTCTTTGCTATCAGAGGAGTTATTTGCCTCACTGACAGTGGTTTTTCCCAGCCTCAAGGTATCCTCTGGCTGAGCTGAGGATTTGGGCAACTGGTCAGGAAAAGCAGTTTGGGAAACGGAGAAAGCTGCAGATTTCCTCCTCAGATCCTTCAGTTTTGAACAAACATTTAAAATACCCATTAATTCCAGTGAAAGATTGTCACTGACCAAAGGTTGCTCGGTTTGTTCAGAGTTTATTTGAAGGTCTTGTGGAGGCGTCTCCCCTTTGGCTGACAGCTCCTCATTTTCCTTGGATTCCTTGTTAGCAGCTGGAACGAGGCTTGCTCCAGCCAAGCCCAAATCTGGAGCTGAATCTCCACGTTGAGACAAATCCTCTTTCACTACCTGGCTTCTCCAAGTACCAGAAGAATCTGGGGAACCCTTCAAAGGATCTGATCCCTGGATGGGAAGGGCAACATGGGATTCCAAATCGCCACTTCCTTCTCTGCAATCCACAGGACCATTACCTGGGAGCTCCAAAGATGCTCCCTTTGACTGCAGGTTTTCTGCCTGTGTGAGATCCTGCTGCCTGCTTACAGGGACAGAATTCCCCATGGGAAGGTCACAATCCTGTGGTGCCTGGAAATCCATAGTGTTTTCTGGAAGTGAGACAGAATAAATGGAATCTGGTGTTGTGCCACTGGGGGCCTTGGTGGCTCCTTTCTCATTAGGAAATGCTGAGACTGATGAAGCAGAAGAGGGAATGCTGGGCTGATCCTTAGGTTTCGTGGGATATTCACAGTTCAGGTCTCTTGTATGCGAGGAATCCACGTCACCCCTGGAGGACCCCAACACAGCCTGTGTGTGCTGTGGTAAGTGCTGAGTGCTCGGGTGGGCCTCAAATCCATCGATATTGTTCTTAACAGTAGCAGTATGGGATGCAGTGATTTCCATGTCATCCTGGTGGAGGGCAAACACAACAGTTTTATCAGCAGGAATGGCTGGAATGGGCTGTGGGTCCTGTGCTGTGTGAGTTTTGGTGATCTCCATATCCTCAGCCAAAGCAAAACCAACTGTTGTGCCCCCTGCAGCAGCCTCCTGCCCACCCTGCTCCGCCAGGATCCATCCGTCCTCACAGAATTCTCCTCCAATTCCCGGATGAATGGAGTGAGACGCGGTCACTTCCATGGCATCCTGGTAACTGGAGAACAGGACTGTGGAGGTGGAGGGAGCAGGCTGCCAGCCCTGCAGGGGGTTCTCTGCCAAAGCTCCGTGGGAGGGTTTGGTCATTTCCATGTCATCCTCAGGAAACATCGTAACTTGGCTGTTGGGAAGTCCAGCCTCCTCACCAGAGTTTGGCTGAACACCACATACAACTATTCCTGTGGTTTTATCAGCAGAGAAAGACGTGGAAATGCCCACGTCAGCCCGGCTACCTGTGATCATCACACTCCTCACAGGATGACCTGAAGAGAGGGAATGGAGCCCTCCCTCATCCTGCACAATCCTGTGGCCTATGGCAGCTGTGTGGCTCTGGGTCATTGTCCTCATTGCTCAGGGAAAACAAAACAGTCTTCTCCCCTGGTATTCCCTTCAAGCTTTCCCTTCCAGTCCTTTTAGCTGTGCTGAGCA